TCCATAGAGACAGGGTTTCACCACGTTGGCCAGGCTGGTCTCGATGTCTTGACCTGGTGACCTGCCCGCCTCGGCCGCCCAGAGTGCTGGAATTACACGCGTGAGGCACCGTGCCTGGGTTTCTTATTTTATTTTATTTTTTTCTTGAGATGGAGTCTCGCTCTGTCACCCAGGCTGGAGTGCGGTGGCACAATCTCAGCTCACTGCAACGTCCATCCCATCACCCCGGGTTCAAGCAATCCTGCCTCAGTCTCCTGAGCACCCGGGATGACAGGCGCCCACCACCACGACCCGCTAATTTTGGTATTTTTAGTGGAGATGGGGTTCCACCATGTTGGCCAGGCTGCTCTCGAACTCCTGACCTTGTGATCCGCCAACCTGGGCCTCCGAAAGTGCTAGAATGACAGGTAGGAGCCAGCACGCCTGGACTATTTTTTAATTTCTTTTTTCTTTTTTTTTTTCTTTTTTAGATGGAGTCTCGCTCTGTCGCCCAGGCTGGAGTGCAGTGGTGTGATCTCGGCTCACTGCATCCTCCACCTCCCGGGTTCAAGCGATTCTCCTGCCTCAGCCTCCTGAGTAGCTGGGATACGGGCACCCGCCATCACGCCCGGCTAATTTTGTATTTTTAGTAGATACGGGATTTCACCATGTCGACCAGGCCGGTCTCGAACTCCCGACCTCAGGTGATCCGCCGGCCTCGGCCTCCCAAGTAGCTGGGACTACAGGCGTGTGCCATCACCCTCGGCTTATTTTTCTATTTTTACTAGAGACGGGGTTTCACCACGTCGGCCAGGCTGGTCTCGAACTCCCGACCTCGTGACCCGCAGGCCTCGGCCTCCCAGAAGGCAGGGGTGACAGACGTGAGCCACCGCGCCCGTTCAGCATGCGTTTTTGTTTTTGTTGTGGGTTTTCTCCAGGTCTTACTGTGGTTCGGTTGCAGGAGGCCGGGCCCGGGCATCAGCAGCAGCGTGAGCCACAGGAGGACCATGGGGAGCGCAGCTCTGTCAGGACCGAGGTGCCTGCTGGAGACAACGGAGAGTCAGGCAGCAGGGAGCGGCCGTGGGGCGGGGCTGCGGGGGGTGAAGGGTGCTGTGAGTGTGAGTGTGTGTGTGGGCGGTGTGTGTGAGTGTGTGTCTCAGTGTCTGTGAGTCTGGGAGCGTGTGTGAGTGTTGAATGTGTGTGGGGGACCGTGTAAGCATCTGTGTGTGTCAGTGTGTATGAGTGTGTGTTCAATCTGTGTATGCGTGAATGTGTGTGTCTGTGTGTTGAGTGAGTCTGTTGAGTGTGTATGCGTTTGAGTGTGTGTTGTGTGTGTGAGTGTGTTTGTTGAGTGTGCGAGTGTGTCTTTTTTGGGTGTGTGCATGTGAGTGTGAGCATGTATGTCTGTGTGAATGTGTGTATGTTTGTTGAGTGTGAGTGTGTTTATTGACTGCGTGAGATTGTCTTTGTTGAGTGTGTGCATGTGTGAGTGTGAGCGTGTGTGTCTGTGTGTGAATGTGTGTGTGTTGAGTGTAGGAGTGTGTGTTGAGTGTGTGGCTGTGTGACTGTGAGCATGTGTGTCTGTGTGAATGTGTGTGTTGAGTGTGGGAGTGTGTGTTGAGTGTGTCCATGTGTGAGTGTATGTGTTTGTGTTGTGTGAGTGTGTATGTTGAGTGTGGAAGTGTGTTGAGTGTGAGTGTGTGAGTGTGTGTTTGTTGAGTGTGTCTTTGTTGAGTGTGCGTGTGTGTCAGTGTGAGCGTATGTGTCTGTGTGTGAATGTGTGTGTGTTTGTTGAGTGTGGGAGTCTGTTGAGTGTGAGTGTGTGAGTGTGTCTGTGTCTGAGTGTGAATGTGTGTGTTCGCTCAGTGTGTGTGCGTGTGTGTGTCTGTGTGTGAATGCGTCTGTGTTTGTTGTGTGGGAGTGTGCTGAGTGTGTGTTTCTCAGTGTGAATGTGTGTGGGGGTGTGTGTTTATTGAGTGTGTGTCAGTGTGTGTGCACGCGTGTATGTGCAAATACACCTGTGCAGACACATGCATGTGGGACTGTGCCTGTACATGTGTGCACTGTGTGCATGAATGTGTGTGTGTGTGTACGTGGGGTGTACTATATGTGTGCATGCCTGTGTGTAGAAATGTGTGTTTGCATGTTTGCACCTGACTGCATGTGTGTGTGTGTGCATGCACATGCACTGTGCACGTGTGTCTCTAAGCAGGTGCATATGTGCACGTGTGCTGGCGCCTGTAGTGTGTACATTTGTGTGCCTGTGCTTATCTGTGTGCGTACATACGAGTTTGTGTGTTTTCTTTTTTTTGGGGGACGGAGTCTCCATCTGTGGCCCAGCCTGGAGTGCAGTGGTGTGATCTCACCTCACTGCAACCTCCGCCTCCCGGGTTCAAGAGACTCTCCTGCCTCAGTCTCCCGAGTAGCTGGGGTTACAGGTGCGCGCCACCACACCTGGCTAATTTTTCTATTTTTCGTAGAGAAGACGTTTCGCCATGTTGTCCGGGCTGGTCTCGAACCCCCGACGTCAGGTGATCCACCTGCCTCGGCCTCCCAAAGTGCTGGGATCACAGGTGTGAGCCGCCATACCTGGCCGTGTCTGTTTTATGCAGGCGGATACACACAGAGGTGTGTTTCCATGACACATTTCTATCTGTGTGTGCATTCCATGGGTGCACGCGTGTGCATACATCAATACACGTTTATGAGAGTCTGGGCGTGTGCGTGCCTGTGTGTACATGTGTCAATGTACATATAGAAGCATGTTTGCACGAGCGCGTACGTGTGCGTGTGTGTGTGTGCGTGGTGTGTGCCTGTGTCTGTGTGTGTGGCAGCCTTTCCGTTTTGAAACAGCCCCCGCCCTGTGGGTTTAACCCATTCGTGGCCGCAGCTCTCCCCAGAAACCAGGAAAGCACATTCCCCGTGGAACTCCAGGAAACGCTCAGAAGACAAAGCGGAGGAAGGAAGCGTGATCACAATTCCGAAATCCATGCACACAGAAATTCCTAAGTGAGCAGAGCTGCCTTCTTTCTTTCTTTCTTTCTTTCTTTTTTTTTTTTTTTGAGACAGAGTTTCACTCTTGTCGCCCGGGCTGGAGTGCAGTGGCACGATCTCGGCCCACCGCAACCTCCGCCTCCCGGGTTCAAACGATTCTCCTGCCTCAGCCTCCCGAGTACCTGGGATTACAGACATGCCCCACCACATGCAGCTAATTTTCTGTTTTTTAGTCGAGACGGGGTTTCTCCATGTTGGTCAGGCTGGTCTCGAACTCCCGGCCTCAGGTAATCCACCCTCCTCAGCCTCTGAAACTGCTGGGATCACCGACGAAGGCCACCTTGCCTGACTGGCTAATATTTTCAATTGGCTGGGTGAGGTGGCTCAGGCCTGTCATCCCAGCAGTTTGGGAGGCTGAAGCAGGCAGATCACTTGAGGTCAGGAGTTCAAGACCAACCTAACAAACATGGTGAAACCCCATCTTTACTAAAAATAAAAAAAATCACCCGGGTGTGGTAGTGGGTGCCTGTCGTCCCAGCTACTCAGGAAATTGAGGCAGGAGAGTCCCTTGAACCTGGGAAGAAGTGGTTGCAGTGAGCTGAGATCACACCACTGCACTCCAGCCTGGGCGACAGAACGAGACTCCATCTAAAAAAGAAAAAAAAAAAAGAAAAAAAAAGAAAGAAATTAAAAAATAGTCCAGGCGTGGTGGTGTGTGCCCATGGCCCTGGCTACATGGGAGGCTGAGGCAGGCGGATCACCTGAGTCTGGGAGTTCAAGACTGCAGTCAGCTATGACCGCATCACTACACGCCAGCCTGGACAACAGAGCAAGACCCTATCTCAAAAAAAAAAAAAAAAAGGTTTTTTTCATCAATGTGGGATTCACCCACCCCACAATTTACCACCGTGCCATGTGCAATTCAGAGACATACACCGTTATAAAACCACCGCTCCCATCTTCCAGAACATGTGGTCACCCAAAAAACACACCCCAGACCCATTAAAGACCGCTCAGTCCCCCTGCACAGCCCCCGGCAACCACACAGCCACGTCCTGTGTCTGTGGATTTGCCTGTATCTTGACACAGCAAATAACGGACTCCTAAATATACGACATATGTATGTACGATTTGTGTGTGTGGCTTGTGTCGGGAAGTGTGGCGTGCTCATGGTTCACGCTCATTGCAGCCTATGACAGAGACTTGTTCCTTTTCATGGCTGCGTAATATTCCACTATGTGGGTGGTAGAACACAGTCTATTTCTCCATTCGTCTAGAGATGGGTTTTAGGGGTGTCATCACCTCTTGGCTACTGTGAATAAATCTGCTGGGAGGGGGTTGAGCTTTATTTATTTATTTATTTTTGACACAGAGTCTCGCTCTGTTACCCAGGCTGCAGTGCAGTGGCACGATCCTGGCCCACTACCAGCTCCCCTTCCCGGGTTCAAGTGATTCTCGTGCGTCGGCCTCCTTAGCAGCTGGGATTGCAGGTGCACGCCACCACACCTGACTAATTTTTTGTGTTTTTAGTAGAGATGGGGTTTCACTGAGGTGGTCGGGCTGGTCTTGAACTCCTGACCTCATGATCGCCTGCCTCGGCCTCCCAAAGTGCTGGGAAGACAGGCATGTGACACCCATGCCCGGCCGGGACCTGAGGTTTCACCAGCAGTCTGGGGTGTTCTGAGTCTCTTCAGCCTTTGAAAACCAGGGAGAAACGCTCAGAGCAGGCTGGGGGTACCCGTCCCTAAAGCATCCCCATGTCCGGCCGTCAGCTGTGGGCACAGCTCTTTGACCAGCTGGACCCGCCATGTGACAAACGTGCAACTCTACCCACGGGCCTGTGTTTCCACTTTCTAGCAAGCACCTTGGAGCATCAGAAAACAGAGCACGATTACCTCCAATGTCCTCACCTTTATGCACTCGAGGAGTCTGAGATGGAAAACACCCTCCTTTGGTAGCAGGTTGTTCAGTGGGGTGTGTGTCGGGGTGTTCAGTGGGGTGTGTCACGCTGTTCAATGGGGTGTGTGTCAGGTTGATCACTGGGGCGTGTGTCAGGTTGTTCAGTAGGGTATGTGTCAGGCTGTTCAGTGGGGCGTGTGTCAGGTTGTTCAGTGGGGTGTGTGTCAGGTTGCTCAGTGGGTTGTGTGTCAGGTTGCTCAGTGGGGTGTGTGTCAGGCTGTTCAGTGGGGTGTGTGTCAGGTTGTTCAGTGGGGTGTGTGTCAGGTTGCTCAGTGGGGTGTGCGTCAGGTTGCTCACTGGGGTGTGTGTCAGGCTGTTCAGGGGTGTGTGTGTCAGGTTGTTCAGTGGGGTGTGTGTCAGGTTGCTCAGTGGGGTGTGTGTCAGGTTGTTCAGTGGGGTGTGTGTCAGGCTGTTCAGGGGTGTGTGTGTCAGGTTGTTCAGTGGGGTGTGTGTCTGGTTGTTCAGTGGGGTGTGTGTCAGGCTGTTCAGTGGGGTGTGTGTCAGGTTGTTCAGTGGGGTGTGTGTCAGGTTGCTCACTGGGGTGTGTGTCAGGCTGTTCAGTGGGGTGTGTGTCAGGTTGCTCACTGGGGTGTGTGTCAGGCTGTTCAGTGGGGTGTGTGTCAGGTTGCTCACTGGGGTGTGTGTCAGGTTGTTCAGTGGGGCGTGTGTCAGGTTGATTACTGCGTGTGTGTCAGGTTGCTCAGTGTGGTGTGTGTCAGGCTGTTCAGTGAGATGTGTGTCACTTTGCTCACTGGGCTGTCTGGTTGTTCAGTGGGGTGTGTGTCTGGTTGTTCAGTCGGGTGTGTGTCACTTTGCTCACTGGGCTGTGTGTCTGGTTGCTCACTGGGGCGTGTGTCAGGTTGATCACTGGGTGTGTTTCTGGTTGCTCAGTGTGGTGTGTGTCTGGTTGTTCAGTGGGGTGTGTGTCTGGTTGTTCAGTCGGGTGTGTGTCACTTTGCTCACTGGGGCGTGTGTCAGGTTGATCACTGCGTGTGTGTCAGGTTGCTCAGTGGGGTGTGTGTCAGGCTGTTCAGTGGGGTGTGTGTCACTTTGCTTACTGGGCTGTGTGTCTGGTTGTTCAGTGGGGTGTGTGTCTGGTTGTTCAGTCGGGTGTATGTCACTTTCCTCACTGGGCTGTGTGTCTGGTTGCTCACTGGGGCGTGTGTCAGGTTGATCACTGGGTGTGTGTCTGGTTGCTCAGTGTGGTGTGTGTCAGGCTGTTCAGTGGGGTGTGCGCTGTTCACAGACAGGAGGCGTGAGCAGAAACCCGTTACGTGCCGACACCCGTACCTGGGCCTGTCCCTGCCAGCGTGGATTTAGGATCACACACGCCACAGCCACCCCGGCTGCCCTCTCGCCCTCATGCCCCCCGGAGAGAGAGGACTTTACCTTAAATGCAGATGGAAGTCCCGTGTGGGAGAAGCCGCCTTCCTCGCTCCAGTGCAGAAGGCCTGAGGTGTCCCCATCTGAGGACTGTGTCCGCAGCTCTGGACGTTCCCGTTATTTTCCTGTTCGTGCTGAAGGAAGCGTCTCCAAAGAGAAAGCGAAGCTTCTAGTCCCCCCTACAGCCGTTTTATAACCTCCAGCGCAGCCCCACCCCTGGGAGTCAGACCCAAGGCCCATCTGGCCGGGAGGGGGCCTTCCTGACACCCCCTCTCCCTGGGGCCGGCATTCCGGGGTCAGTGGCTTTTGGTAACTGCGGCCGGATTTCCTTGAAAGAGAAACTCTTTCTTTGAAGATGGTCATTTTTCCACCCCCCGTGCTCATTTTCCGGCGAGCTCGTAAGAATTATAGTTGGTGCCTTGTATTCAGGCAGGATGGGGGGGGGGGCTTCCTGACTAAGCAAACGCAGCTGGGGAGGGGCGACTGTCCGTGCCCTGGGGTTCCTGGCTGCGTTTCCTCCCCGTTCCATGAGAAAGACACCCCCACCCCCCCAGATGGGGAGGTGACCCCCAGTCTCAGATGATGTACTTAATACAGTTATCTTACCGGCCACGCATGTTGGCTCACTCCTGCCATCCCAGCTCCTTGGGAGGCCGAGGCAGGTGGATCACCTGAGGTCAGGAGTTCGAGACCAGCCTGGCCAACACGGAGAAATCTCATTTCCACTAAAAATACAGAATTTAACCAGGCCTGGTGGTGGGCGCCTGTCGTCCCACCTACTCAGGAGGCTGAGGCAGGAGAATCTCTTGAACCCAGAAGGCAGAAGTTGCACTGAGCTGAGATTCTGTCACCGCACTCAAGCCTGGGTGATGGAGTGACACTCTGCCTCCAAAAACAAAACAAACAAACAAAATGGTATCTTAGTGGCCAGGGGCGGTGGCTCACGCCTGTCATCCCAGCACTTTGAGAGGCTGACGCAGGTGGATCACCTGAGGTCAGGAGTTCGAGACCAGCCTGGCCAACAGGGTGCAACCTCATCTCTACTAAAAAAAAAAAAAATACAAAAAATTAGTCAGGCCTGGTGGTGGGTGTCTGTAATCCCAGCCAGTGGGGAGGCTGAGGCAGGAGAATCACTAGAACCCGGGAGGCGGAGG